GAAGGCTGACGTTTCGGGCCTAGACCCTTCTTCAGAAATTTCTGCTGCTTGGCCTGCTGTGTTCATCCAGCTCTACACCTTGTTATCTCAGAATACTACGATAATAGGATTAGGTGAAGAGGAGTGGAGGAGGTGAGGCATCACATTGGCATGGACCAGTTGGGTTGAATGGGCTATATTAATTCTGGATGTAATATATAATTGCTCTTTCTACTTCTTCTTGCTTCACTCTGGTTTGATATCAACTGAGTTAAACTGGACCATCAGCAACTCTTCACACATTTCTTCCTAAGTTTTACAAACTGTGAAATTCTCATTGAGCAACCTGTAGGCTTTTTAACCAACAGCTTGGTGCTGGACCCCATTTCACTCGCATTTGGCCTTCTCATTGAGAAACTCATCTTGACTAAATGCCGGAAAATCAACTTCACACGACACACACGTTTTCAGTCATCTGTTTTACGCCATGGATACATTTCCCATTGGAAATGTTATTGGATTTGAGATCACACAAGCTCACTTTGAGGAAATCAGATCTGAAATGAGGGTGGCAGAAAGGGATAGGACAGAATTAGTCAAGGGTGGGAAAAGTTTTGACTTTCTGCCGTTCACCTCGGTGATGAATATAAGTTGTGCTAAGTAGATGGTGTTTTTTTTTCATTCATTTGTGGGATGTAGGCGTCGCTGGCTGGCCAGCATTTATTGCCCGTCCCTAGCTGCCCTTGAGACTTTGCAGCGATTGGTACAACTAAATGGCTTGCTAGGCTATTTCAGAGGGCAATAGAGAGTCAACCACATTGCTGTGGGTCTGGAGTCACATGTAGGCCAGACCGGGTGAGGATGGCAGTTTTCCTTCCCTGAAGGACATTATTGAACCAGATGGGTTCTTCCCAACAAATGACAATGGATTCAAGGTCTTCAGTAGATGCTTAAATACAAATTGAAAGCAATGTTATGTAAAGTCCTGTTTGCCCACTGTTGTGTCTTTTTTCATATCCCATATCTACACACACATGACATTCCAGCTGTAAAATACCTACTATATCCTTCAGTTCTAGCTTCCAGCTCTTTCTACAACTTGTTTACTTTTCCGGGTCAGGCTTCATCAATCAAGCATAGTGAATGTTATTACTAAACAAACTTACAAAATCAAACATGGAATAAATGCACACAACACTCAGCAACTGTGTGTATTGCTGACCTGCACTCCTGATCCTGATTACCTTGATTTTAAAATTCTCCTCTTTGTATCCCACCGTAGCCTCACTTACATCCCAATCTCTGTGATGTCATCCAGACCCACAACACTGTGTGTTATCTGTGTTCTTGCTTCTTGGGGATCCATCCACTGTTGGTGGCTGTATTTTTGGATACCCGGGCCCCTAGCTCTGGAATTCCCATGCTAAACCTCTTGACTTCTTTGATCCTTTCCGGTACTCCTTAAAACACACCTTCTTTGTGGGACAATGTCAAGTTTGGTCTAACCATTCTCTTGTGAAGTGCACCTGGATGTTTTAACATTAAAGGCGCTACAACAATGCAAGTTGTTCTTGTATTGTCAGCCCAGAAAGGAGGAGGATTGAGGATTATTCAATGAGATGGTCAAGTAGAGTGAAGGCATCTCAGATGTAGCCTGCAGCTGTTCCGTCCCTTTCCTGCCACACACTAGACACAACTTCACACCATATATGTAGCAATTCAGCCTTGCAGTAAAAATGACATTATTATTTCAAGCTAAAACAATGTGTGTGACTCAGCTTATGAACAGTTTTCAATGAAAAGAAAGCATCTTTGATTGATAGCCATGAGTATAGTTTGGAAGTGTTGTCACTGATGTATTGTAGGATACACTGCAGCCTTTGTGCACACTAGTTTCAGACCTACAGACCCATCTCAAAGGTCCTGTAGGGCCAAGGCTGCATGGTAACAAAGGGATGTTAAAGATCACTGCAAATCACCTTGTTTGTACACTACTGACTAGAAGGTACCGTTTTGGCTCAGTGTGATCTATTTTGTCACCTTCCTGTGGCTGAACAGGTGGGCAGGAGCAGAAGACAATATTAAAATTCGTTAAGAAGCTTCCAGTTTTCACTGTCAAAGCTGTTAGAGGTTAGAGTGTAAGGACAGTGTGGCTTACATTATCTTCCTCAACACTCAAATTCAGGCTTAGCTCTAATCTGTTATTATTCAATTAAATATTGGGTGGCATGGTGGCTCAGTGGCTAGCCCTGCTGCCTCACAGCAACAGGGATCCAGGTTCAAACCCACCCTTAGGCAGCTGTCTGAGTGGAGTTTGCACATTCTCCCTGTGTCTGCTTGGGTTTCTTTTGGGTGCTCCGGTTTCCTCCAACAGTCCAAATATGTGCAGGTTAGGTGAGTTGATCATGCTAAATTGCCCATAGTGCCCAGGGATGTGCAGGCTAGGTGCGTTAGCCATGGGATATGCAGGGTTAAAGGGATAGGGTGGGAGGTTAGGTCTGGGTGGGATGGTCTTTGAGGGTCAGTGTGTACTCAATAGACCGAATGGCCTGCTTCCACACTGTAGGGATTCTATTATCATAAGGATTGCTATCAAAGTCCATTCAATCTACTGTACATCTAAAATGCCACTCTGACCCCTTGCTTCCTTGGGCTTGAGTGATCACTCAAACCATTCACGTTGCTGCAGCAAGAGGTCCTTTGAACTCTCACCTCCCTGACCACAGGAGGTCACTGTGAACCCTGACCACGGGTGGTCACTCTGAACCCTCACCTCCCCGATCATGGGTGATCACTCTGAACCCTCACCTCCTTGACCACAGGAGGTCACTGTGAACTCTCA